AAAGTCTGGCATACGTTTGTTTGTGAGGCAATCTAGAAGACATACGAATAGCATGGGGGAGTGGAGAAGGCAAATATGAGTTCCAAAGGAGCAAAGAGTTTCAAAGGGAAAGAGTTCCTACAAGAAAGTAAACAAGCATTAGTCTGGAACAAAGCCTGGGATATGTTTCGCAGTAAAAATGTGCCCCCCCACTTGGTTTGTGTCATCAAAATATCAAGGACTCTCACAAGTTCTAAATAAATAGCACCAAAATAGTAATGGATAAAAATACTTAATATTTTGCTCTTCATTTTTTCTTTATGGTCTTTTTTTCACTTTGTGCTATAATTTCACAAAGTCTGTTGTTTTCACTCATGTATTATCAAGTATCTGGTATAGAATAGGTTTTCAATAGAAAAAAAATTGACTTCTTTGCAAAAAAATTTACAAATAATTATTAAAATATAAAAGTTTCCATCAATAATAAAATATACTACATGGAAATGGAAATGGAAATATTGCCCTAATAATTTTCTTCTTTTGATTATCAAATATTTAAAATAATCCAGAATACCTATAAAAGTTTATATGTAAATATGTTCATCACAGCACATTTTTAATAGAGAAAAATGGAAGCTATATAAACATTTAACAATAGGGGAACAGTACATATGGTGGTATATCACTAATGTGAAATATTTATTCATCATTTTTTTCAAGAAATATTCATAGAGTACTATGTGGGTGGCATCATGCTAGACTGGAGCTAAATGAAGCTGTATTAATGGAGCTTTGTAGTAATAAAATTATGCTGTATTTGGGATTCCTGCTAAATGAGTAGATTTTAGCTGCTCTTACCACAAAAACAAACAAAAAAATGGGTAAGTGAGATGGTGGAGATATCACAATAGTAACCATTTTACTATCTATATGTACCCCAAAACATGTTGTATACCTTAAATATACACAATAAAAAAATTTTTTTAAACACACTTTCTTGAAATGGGGAAAAATAAAGGAGCTATGTGTTTTACAGAACATTTATTATTATGGAAAATTCCCATTTTATGAAATTAAATAAAGGAGCATGCCAAATGTACAAAATGATCTCAAAAATATAAGTATCCAAAAACAGGGGAGAAAAAAGTTCGGAGGGTTATCAATGAAAATGTTCCACAGTAATAACTGGATGATAGAATCAAAGCATTAGTTCTATAGACACAATAACATACATACATTTTAAGTGGACCTGACTTTGTTCAACATTTTATTATGGTGCTGTCAAAATAGTTAGCACTTAACTCATATTTGTTGAATGGGTGGAAAATGAATGGAGAATGCTGGAAAGAAACTGTAGGATTCTAGCTCCTAAAGTGCTTTTGTTTCTGTGTCTTCTGGAAGTCTGGATTGAAGAGGATGATACGCGGAGCAAGGTTTGGGGCCTTGCTGAAGGTCCCTACCCACATTCCCACCCTCTGTCCTGCCCTACCCCCTCTGAATCTGCTCTCCCACTAAATCCTCCCTCCTAAGCTCAGGGAGCCTCTCAAGCATGCTTCTCATGGTGCACTTGCAGCATCCAAGCAGGGAAAGAGTTAAGAGCTTTACAGTCCTGTCACTGACAATAGAGTGGCTCCTAGGGCAGAAAGAACTCACATGGATAAGTCTACAGTCCCTGAAGACACTCACAGAAAGAATAATTTGTCCTTCAGCTCCTCCCCCAGTTTGGTCCCCTGGTCACTGCTCACAGTCTGTGGTGTGGGGACACCTGGGATCAAGGCAGGGGCATGGCTCCAGCTGGCAGTTCCTGATGACTGTGATGGACACTTTAGGGTGAGGAGAGGTGTAGGTTGGTGCTGACCAGCATTGCCTGGAGCTTCTGTGGGCCCTTCTGCCCTGGGGCAAGAACTGTGGGGTATGACTGAGCATGAGGATAAAGGAGGTGGGAGAAACACTGAATTTATTGATGAGAAACAATGATGGATTGCCTTCAACATTTGGCCACTCCATAGAGGTTTTATTTGGAATTCTCTATGAGAGCAGAGTCAGGGAGGACAGACCAAATGTTTCCACAGAAGCTTGGTGGCATTGTGGAGATACTAGCGAAATGAGAGGCAAGAGGACTTGTTTCTAGACTTCCTTAACTCATTTCCTCTGCTACGTTGGGAAAATTGCCTTCCCTTCTGGGGCCCTTGTAAATGGTAAGTTACATGGCAAGATTATTCTAGGTTTGGTGTGAGGATTAAAGCAGGAGTTGGGAAACATTTTTGGTAGAGGGCCAGAGTAAACATCCTAGGCTTCAAATATGGTCCATTCAATTCTGTTCCATAAAAGCAGCCATAGATGATATGTAAACAAATGGGAATTGCTGCGTCCCAAGAAAACTTTGTTTACAAAAGCAGGTGGTGGGCAGGATTTAGCCCACAGGCTGCAGTTTGATGATCACTGGAATTAAATCCCAACCAGCACTTATATTTTATATCTCTCACTCGAGGTTAGGCAGTTCAAGACTGGAACTGGTGAAGCAAGGGTGTTGCCCTGTGAATTGCATTTCTGTGAGAGTCCTCTCTTCTGGCATGGGTAAGGGGACTGTGACACTGGAGGCAGGGGTAAGAGGGAATCATAATAAGATGACTTAGATAAGTCATAAATTATCTATGTCACAGTGAATTTGAGTAATTAATGACTGTGTGAATTTGTGTGGGAAAGTTTTAAAGTGCATGTGCGTGAAGTGTCATAGTGAAAAGCTATTTGCGTAAATTGTGAAAATGTGTGTCAGCATATAAATCTTCATCAGTATTTGCATAAGTGAATATGTGTGATGATGGCTGTATAAATGAGTGTGTGTGAAAATATGTGTCTGAATGGAAGTGTGTGTGTGTGTGTGTGTGTGTAGCTAGCAGAGCTAGAATTGAAACAAGGTAGGTCTGACTTTAGAGCCCTTATCATTTTTCCTGTATTAAATTGTCTTACATGTTTTAGAAGTTGTGGCAGAAATAGGAGAATTGGAAGGGAGTGGGGTGGAAGCCCAAGGAAGGTAGTTTAGGTAGTCAACATAACACAATGGAAGTTTTAAAAACTAATGGAAGCTTTGGCTCTAGATAGTCTTGATTCAAATAGGCTAGCTGCTAACAAGTTGTTTGTCTTTGGACAAATTATTTGAATGTCAGTTTTTTCGTGCTTAAACTAGCTATAGTTTTAATGACACAGGTTTCCTGTGAGGATTAGAAATAATAATTATATCTAACACTCAGTAGGTATTTAATATTATAGTTGCTATTATAAAACTAAGAAGTATTAATAATGGAAATTGAAGATTATGAATAAGAAGCGAAGAAAAGTGCCATTAGATTTGGTAATCGCCATGTGACAGATCATTTTCAAGAAGGAATTGCAGTGGCATGCTGGGGTTACAAGATACTTGGCAGTGGGTGAAGATGAAGAAGGAGGTGAGAGAACTGATGAAGAGAGAGCACATCCCTTCCTCTGGGAAACCCAGGTGAAGGGGAGATGAGACACTGGGACATACTTACGCAGTAAGGAGAAGGAGCCAGCAGAGAGGGAGAGGCTGAAATTACTGGAGAGTGACGGGTTAATGGGGAGAGGTACTTAAAGAGAAGAAAGTGCTGGGATCCAGTGCACAGATGGAAGGCTTAGCCTTAAACAGGAGGAAGAGGGAAAAGATGGTGTGAATAAAAACAAATTTGTAGGTGGCAGAGTGAGGGTGTGGGAGTTTAAGGGAATTAACAACAGATGACTTTGTTTTTCCCCCTGAATCAGCAATCAGGAAATCACAATCACCTGATGAACGGAAGCAAGGTGGAGTAGGGAAGACGTGAAGTGACGGAGGCCAGTCTGGAAAGCCAAATTCCAGTTCCACCACTTGCAAGCCAGGTGACCTTGCGTGGGGGTGCTGCTTAAACTCTCTAGGCTTTGTGTGCTCCCCTATCAGTAAAATGGGGAGATAACTACAGTTACCTCAGGCTGTGGTGACTCAGCACAGCGCCCTTCCTAACTGACCACTGTCTCATTCTGCAGCCTCCTCCCCTCCCCATCCATCTTACACAATCCTGCAAGCCAGCGAGCTGCCTAAAATGCAGACCTTACCACGCCATTCCCTTACTACAAAGACTTCACTGGCTCTTACCACTTCAACATAAATCTAAAGTCTCAGATCTCTTAGTGACTTGGCCCCTACCTCACTCCTCTGCATTATTTTTTTTTATCACTTTTATTATCTCCGCCATGTCCTCTTTGCTGTTAACCTTGAATCATTCCAGTTTCCTTCAAACTCCACGTTCTTTCGGATCTCCATGACTTCATTCCAATTCTTCCATCATCACATTCCTTTCCTTGGCAAGCTTTTACTTATTCCTTAACAAAGTGGCATCTTTCAAAAGCCTTTTCTGATCTTCTAGGGAGTTCTCCATGTCCCCACAGCTCCCTGTGTTTAGATTTTCCTCTACCGTGTCCATGTTATATAAGAGGGATATTTTGCTTGACTGTTTGTCCCCCCCCCCCACATAGGTCTTCAAGAAGCCATGCTTGGTACACAGTAGGTTCTCAGTAAGGTTTATTAAATTGATAGGCAACTCAGTTACCATTTTCCTTTTGAGATGCTTGCTACATTCTGGTGTTCAAACTGGAAACTATTTGTATTTGTTATTCATAGCTCTTAACTATTTATAACAACCTGAGACTAAGGTCTATGATATTCTAGAGCTGGAGGGCCTCTATTACACATGATGTAATCAATTCTTTCCCCAACTTTAGTTTTAAGGTGATAAAGAGAGACCCAGAGCAGGGGACTAATTTTATTGAGACCAACGTAGCTAGTGAATAGAATGGCAAAGAATTTTAGCCCACAACTCTTGACTTCCTGACCAGGACTCTTTTCACTGCTCCAACCAAGGAAAAATGATCTGTTCCCTCCCACCCTACTCCAACTCCTTCAGCTTTTTGGGAAGAGAGAAGAGGTGACTGCCAAATCCTGCACACCAACACACAAGTGACCTGCCCTGGGCATGGCGACTCCTAACTACACTGCTACCAGCCACTCACTCTTCATTCTGCTGGGCATCCCTGGCTTGGAAGACCAGCACACATGGATCTCTCCCCCCTTCTTTATTTCCTACCTTATCGCTCTCCTTGGGAATAGCCTCCTCATCTTCATCATCACTAAACGCAACCTCCATAAATTCATGTACTCCTTCCTCTGGATGCTAGCTGTGGCTGACCTCATTCTGTCCACCACCACTGTGCCCAGAGCCCTAGCCATATTCTGGTTCCATGCTGGGACGATCTCCCTTGATGGCTGTGTCACACAAATCTTCTTTATCCATGCTACCTTCATCACTGAATCAGGAATTCTGTTGGCAATGGCATTTGACCACTATGTGGCCATCTGTGACCTGCTGTACTACACCACAGTGCTCAGTCAGTCAGTAATCATAAGGGTTGGCTTGGCTGTGGTCCTGAGAAGCTTCCGTGTGATACTCCCAGATGTGTTTCTGGTGAAGCGACTGCCTTTCTGCCGTAGCAATCTGCTGCCACACACCTGCCGTGAGCACATGGCTGTGGCCAAGTTTGCTTGTGCTGACATTCGTGTCAATGTGTGGTATGGCTTGTCTGTCCTCTCTACTGTAGTGCTAGATGCCTTGTTCATCTTAGTTTCCTACAGCCTTATCCTCTTTGCAGTCTTCCACCTACCCTCCCGAGGAGCTCGGCAAAAGGCTCTGGGCACAGGTGGCTCCCACCTAGAGGTCATTTCCATGTTCTATTTGCCTGGCATTTTAACCATAATTACCCAGAGGTTTGGGCACCATGTGCCTCTCCACACACACATTCTGCTGGCTAATGTCTGCATGTTGGCCCCTCCTATGCTGAACCCCATCATTTATGGTATCAAGACTAGACAGATTTGAGAGCGTGTGCTCAGTACTTTGTCTTTACCATGGAAACAATGCTGAATTTGACTGATCAGGTGGTATGTTTACCAATATAGGGCTTCATTTTTTTTTCCGCTTACTTTGTAGAGACTTATAAATTAAAAGTTTCACTGACTGTGAACAAAGTAACTTGTTTATGGCTTTGAAAGTCAGATCCCCATGTGACCTTGAGAAGGGTAGTATTTAGGAAAGAATATGAGCTTTTGGATCAGAATTAGGTTTGAATCCCACCTTTACTGACAATTTGTTTGACCTTGGGCAATTTACTTATTCTCTCAGAGGCTCTTAGCATATACTTAGGTTACCATAAAAAGAGGAATATCAAAACCACAGTAACCAAATTAAACCAAGAGAAAACTTTACCTACAATAAACTTACCTACAGCATTACAATAAAAACATCTAGAATCTATCTTAATGTAACAATATACATACATTTGATATCATTTAAAATATATTTTATTTTGAATTAGATATAGGAGGATGCCACAATCTTTACATTTCTTATGTCTGGATTATGCCTTATAATAGGGCTGTGATAAAAATAAAGTATAAACAGGACCTTGAATATACATGATACAAAGTAAATAGTAGACATGTTTTTAATTTTTCTTTCCTTTCCACCTTACCATGTTTAAAATTTTGGTATAATAATTTCTGCCTCTCCTAATTCAAAAGAAAGTTATAGAATCAAAGGAGATAAAAAAAAATTCAACAGGTTTTGAATTTTAAAGGACAATATTAAATATTACACAGAATTGGAATTACTGCTGGTAGTCTTCCCTTATTTCTCAAGAGGATTTTTATGTGACAAGCAAGGGTGTACCTGGATCACTTGTTAGAGACTTGTTACCTTGTGGAGGTAAGAGTTGAGATGCTATGAAATCTCTACTACTTGATTTCTTTTGGTGAAGGCCAAGGGGAGTATGTCATCTCTATAATGTGTGTCTCCAAATATCAAGGTAACTTGATATGCCAACGTATTTAGATTTTGATAAATGAGATTATTTACATTTACATCATTATGGTAGTCTCCTCCCACCAGCATATCAACTAAGGGAGCAAACCATCACTTATACTCATTTCCTCTTTTAAAAATTTACAAAACTTATGAAAACAGAACTTTTAAAACATGGAATTTTGCAATTAAGATATTTATTTTCAAATCTAGAAAATTAGTGATCCTTTTCTTAAACTTCAGGTAATTAATGCCTTTTGATTTTATTGTTGGAAGGATTAAATATGTAAAAAGTTCCTCTTGCATGACTCAATAATGCAGGAGCACGTTAGTTCTTTCCTAACCCTTCTTCCAACAGTTAAACACAAACTAAATTTAGAATACCATGTTTGTTAGAATATATTCTTTTTCCATTTTTCAGTGGGGGAAAAGTGGAAGAAGTCAAATGTGTGAAAGTTGAATTATTCAGGACTTAGTTTTTTTCTGATGAGTTCAGAAGGAGTTGACTATTTTTATTTTTTTATTTACTGTTAGAAAGAGAACAGAGTTATTTGTACTCTTTGTCTGATTTATTTCACCTAGCATAATGCTCTCAAGGGTCATCCATGTTGTTGCAAATGGCAGGATTTCCTTCTTTTTTATGTCTGAATAATATTCCAAAATATTTTAACTATTCATCCATTGACAAACACTTAGATTGTTTCCATGTCTTAATTATTGTGAATAATACTGTGAAAAACATGGGAGTGCAGATATCTCTTCGAGATCCTCATTTTGGATATATATACTGAGAAGTGAGATTGCTAGATCATATGGTAATTCTATTTTTAGTTTACTGAGGAACCTCCATACTGTTTTCCATAATGGTTGTACCAGTTTACATTCCCAGTAACAGTGTACAAGGGTTCCCTTTTCTCCAATGCTTAAGTTTCTTCTTATGTTTCATCTTTTTGATACTACTGTATCAAAGATACTATTGTATCTTTTTGATACCATTCTGATAGGTGTAAGGTGATATTTCATGATGATTTTTATTTGTTTTCCTGATGATTAGTGATGTTGAGCACCTTTTTATCTACCTGTTGGCCATTTGTATGTCTTCTTTAGAAAAATGTTTATGTAGATACTTTCCCTATTTTTAAATTGGCTTATATGCTACCTTGATACTGACTTGTATGAGTTCCTTATACGTTTTCAATATTAGCCTTTTATCAGATACACAGTTTGCAAATATTTTCTTCCATTCTTTAGGTTGCCTTTTCATTCTGTTGATTGTTTCTTTTGACATTGATGTTTCTTCTGCTGTGCGGAAGATTTTTAGTTTGCTATAGTCCCACTTATTTTTGCTTTTGGTGTCATATCCCAAAAATTATTTCTGAGATCAATGCCAAGGAGCTTTTCCCCCATGTTTTCTAGGATTTGTAGTATGGTTTCAGGTCTTACATTTAAGTCTTTAACTCATTTCGACCAAAACTTATTTAAGAACTTTTTGGCTACCTTGTGCACTCTACCAAGTGTTTCCCCGATTCACTCCATACATTTTTACTAATCATCTGCTGAATTCAGATGAGTTTCCCAAAAAGAACTGAATACCAGGGTAACTGGTATAATTTGAATATCTTATATATTAAAAATAAATCCCACAAAATTAAGGTAGTTGAAAACTTCTCTAGATTCTCTGTCCTCTGCTTTTAGTTCTATGTCATTATGCTCTTTTTGGAAAGAATAAGAGGATGACCTTTCTCTTAGGGATGCTAGGACAAAGTTGGTATGAAATAAATATAACATGGCAGGTATGGGGGATGTTGAGTGAGAATGAGAAGACGTAAGGGCCAAGCAACCAGTGGGATCTTCCAGAGAGTAGATTGAAATATAGTCACTTCTTTTATGTTTCATCTCAAATGAAACTTGTTCAAAGGTATAATAGAACAAAACAATTATACTCCTAGAGACCTATCCTCCAAAATATATTATACATGTAAAACACACACACATACATATATGTTCATGAACAGACATATAAGAATATTCATATTCATTGCATAAAGAACATAGGTGTGATCAAGACTGTCAGGTAATGTTGCTTCACTGGGAACACATTTTGAAAGCTTCTGTTTCATAGAAGCTCTGACTGATAATGTTCACCATGATCTTCGAGGGGGTATAACAGCCACCTCTATATTTGATATTATTTATATGTATTTATGAAACAATTATTTATATTTTAATAGCCTCAAACTGGAAATTACCTAAATATCAATAATAATAAATTATAGTATATCCAAACAATGAAATGTGAAATAGCAATGGCAATGAATGGATCACAATTACAAGAAATAAGGATGAATCTTACATATGTAGCGTTGTGAACATTATGAAGCTAAAATGAAGCTACGCATAAAAGAATGGGTGCTGTATAATTACATTCATATATATATATATGATTCAAAAGATAAAATAAATCTATGCTGTATGTGTGAGGATGGTGATTGCCCTTGTGGGCTGTGACTTGGAGGGAGCTCGGCTGGATCCGCTGGGGTGCTGGTAACGTTCTGGATATGGATTCTATTACAGGGGTATATTTATTTTGTTGTAAAAATTATTGATTTGCACAGTATGTGCACTTTTCTGAATGCACATTTATGTCAATAAAAAATTTAAAAGAAACACCAACATTTGCTAGATCATCAAGAAAACCAGTACGGCACTACTGGCGCTCCCTCTTGGAGCTCCTACTTTCTCTTGAATTTCCAAAGAAACTTGGGCCTTCTAGAGTCCAAAAGTAGGGAGAGGGGGGGGATCAGCACATTTTGTACACAGTGAGAAATGCCTTTTTGACTGGCATATTAGTCACTTGTCCTGGAAGTGTATATGTTTAGTCTTATGCAATCTGAAGTAAGATATTCCCTCATCTTCAATCCGAGTGTAATTTTCAGCTAGACTCCCAGGATCTATTCCAGCAACTATTTCCTGAGAACCTGCTTTGCACCTGGCACTGTGTTAGGGACAGGGGATGCAATGGCCAACCTCCAGCAGCCACACCCTTCTCAGACATTACCACAGGACTTGGGATCCCTTCTTTTCTCTCCCTAGGGCGGAATGGCTCTACCTGCAGCTGCTGCTCCTTGTTGTTGGGCTGTCCCTACAGACAGTGCAGCTTGGAGAAGGTTGTGGGCTCAATACTTCTGCCGAAACAGTTCCCAAGGCCGAATCAGAAGGCTGAGAGAGGATGTGGCCACATTCTGTATCTCCGGGCAAGTGTGTTTCACACTACGACAGGCCTGTGGTATCTGAAATGCTCTTTCATCAACTCCATTATAATCAGGGTGTGGTTGGGGAGAGCTTCAGCTCCAAACCCTGGGTTTCAGGACCTGTAGTAGGAAAGAAACTTCATCAACAAAGCTCCCAGAGCCTCATGCTGCAGTGACTCACACTCCCCTGGGCAGACACTAACTCCCTTGAGCCCCTTCCACACCTTAACCCTCCCTACCTGCAGTCCCTCACCAGGCTGAGGCAATTCCTGCAGGAGACCCAGAGAGACCAGCCCCACAGGTCTCCAGGCTCTGGCCTTTATCCAGTGGCAGCCATCAGAGGTCCAGGTCAAAGGTGAGGCCAAGAACCAGGTGTGTGTGTGTGTCTTAGGGAGGAGCTCAAAGGATGCACTGGCTGGAGATCTTTTCAGAGGAAGAGAGGGTGGATGTGGGTGGAATGAGGTAGAACCATCCAGGGCTGCGGGGTCTGAATTTAGAAGGATAGGGAAGGTTTCTTCCATCAAAGAGAACTGAGGAGGAGATGGCAACAGTAAGGGGTACTTTGGGTTTGAGAAGAGAGAAGGGAGGGAAGGAAGTTGCCACAACCTACCTGTGGGGAGACTCCAGATGGAGTCCATGTCCCACCATTTACTTCTGACCCCAGAGACCAAACCACCCTCCTGGGTCTCTGTCTGCAGAAGCTGTCCGGTGCCTGACCCTGCCCCTCTTCTCTGTCCTCCATCTGGAAGCCCCAGGCCCTGAGGTACA